CCAAATTTTGGCCTCATTGACCCCAAATTTTGGTCTAATTCACCCCAAACTTCAGGCCTTGTTGACCCCCAACTTCAGGCCTCCATGACCCCAAATTTTGGCCTTGTTGGTGTCAACCTTTGGGCTTCGTTGACCTCAACTACTGGACCCCAACTTTTGCTCTTCCTTGACCCCCAACTTTAGGCCTCCATGACCCCAACTTTTGGCTTCATTGACCCCAAATTTTGGGCTTCCTTGACCCCAACCTTTGGCCCTCAGTGACCCCAAACTTCAGGCCTTGTTGACCCCCAACTTTATGCCTCCATGACCCCAAATTTTGGCCTCATTGGCCCCAAATTTTGGCCTTTTTGATGCCAACCTTTGGCCCTTATTGACCTCAACCATTGGACCCCAACTTGTAGTCTTCCTTGACCCCAACCTTTGGCCCTTATTGACCCCAAACTTCAGGCCTTGTTGACCCCCAACTTCAAGCCTCCATGACCCCAAATTTTGGCCTTGTTGGTGTCAACCTTTGGGCTTCGTTGACCTCAACTACTGGACCCCAACTTTTGCTCTTTCTTGACCCCAAACTTCAGGCCTTGTTGACCCCCAATTTTAGGCCTCCGTGACCCCAACTTTTGGCTTCCGTGACCCCAAATTTTGGGCTTCCTTGACCCCAACCTTTGGCTCTCATTGACCCCAAACTTCAGGCCTTGTTGACCCCCAACTTTAGGCCTCCATGACCCCAAATTTTGGCCTCGTTGACCCCAAATATTGACCTTATGGATGCCAACCTTTGGCCCTTATTGACCTCAACCATTGGACCCCAACTTTTGGTCTTCCTTGACCCTAACCTTTGGCCCTCATTGACCCCAAACTTCAGGCCTTGTTGACCCCCAGCTCTAGGCCAGAATGACCCCAAATTTTGGCCTCATTGACCCCAAATTTCAGCCTTTTCGATACCAACCTTTGGCTCTTATTGACATCAACCATTGGACCCCAACTTTTGGCTTCATTGACCCCAAATTTTGGGCTTCCTTGACCCCAACCTTTGGCCCTCCTTTTTCCCAAACTTCAGGCCTTGTTGACCCCCAACTTTAGGCCAGAATGACCCCAAATTTTGGCCTTTTCGATGCCAACCTTTGGCCCTTATTGACCTCAACCATTGGACCCCAACCTTCGGCCTTCCTTGACCCCAACCTTTGGCCCTCATTGACCCCAAACTTCAGGCCTTGTTGACCCCAAACTTTAGGCCAGAATGACCCCAAATCTTTGCCTTGTTGACCCCAAACTTCAGGCCTTGTTGACCCCAAACTTCAGGTCTTGTTGACCCCAAACTTCAGGCCAGAATGACCCCAAACTTCAGGCCAGAATGACCCCAAATCTTTGCCTTGTTGACCCCAAACTTCAGGCCTTGTTGA